ACTCCCCTAAGATTTTGGCCTGATCAGTATATTCTCCATCTATTCGGAGCTCCGCCGATTGATTTCAATACAAGTTAGCTATTATTTTTAAGTCTTTTCCGTCAATCTCTGTTCAACTGGATTTTATATTTTTCAAGGCCATTCAGGTTTCACTGTATCTAATTTTCTCTAAGGCTAAAATAAATTTATAAATATAAGGGTTTTATAAAATGAATTATATTAATTTCTTTATTAATAAAAGTTTTATTTAAAAATCCTTTATATAAAAGGTATATAATAAAAAAATTGCCCTTTCGGGCTATATCACAGAACGTTTTGGGACTGAAAAGGTCATCACCAGTGTAATATTACCAGGTATACATGAGCTAAGCCACTAAATATACGGCTAAAAACCTTAGCTGACCATATCCTCCATGAATTGTAAGACTCCCAATAGAGGTTGGTGCTGACCCTCGGACCTTATCTGAATGGGTTTTAGATGGCAACTATTTATTATATACATTTTATAAAGGATTTTTAAATAAAACTTGATTGATAATTTATGGTATGTAGCAAATTGCAGGAATTTCTTTTTCCTTGTGAATGTCTTTATTAATGTTTTTTGTTCTGTTTTAGGGAGCTGTAGCCATATAAGAGTTTGTGAACTGTTCATTGCCTCTGTTAGAAAACCAGATCTGTTTAAAGCATTTTCTTTCCAGTCTTGGATGAAATACGTTAATGGGTCAATGAAATATCTGGAAGTTTATCCTATGGGGTTAGCGGCAACTCCGGATATTCCAGATGGAATATATTTCTTGGAGGTCAACGATGAATATAAAGACTACGTATCCAGCAAAACAACTTTAATAGATAGCTACGGATTTTATTTTGGGGAATGGTTAAATATGGATATTATTAACAGTTATTTAAAGAGATAATAATTTTAAAAGTCTCTTTAACATTTATATTTTAATAAAGTATTTATATTACAAAAATTTAATGTGTTATTAAATTAACGTTAATAATTAATATAAATTAATACCGTTATGATTTTTTATTATTATAAACAGGTAATAAGATATTTATACACATTACATATGACCAACATTTATCAATATTGTTCTGAAGCGATTTTCTTGTGGCATTGTAAATTAATTACTATTTAACTGGGAATAAGCCACAATTAAAGATAAAAATACGTTTATTGACGTTTCAATTTCCCCTTCGAAAATCGTTCTCAAAATACAAACAGTAAATTAAACAAATTTTGTTTTTTGTTACATTGTGAAAAATTCTTCTAATAATTTAATTTTATCTGACTCATTTATATTGCCAATTCAGACATACATTATGCATTTTAAAGTAGACGACTTTAAAATGATATTGCCAATATTGTTGAGTTGCGCTCCCGGGACGACTTTATTTATAAGATAGTTCATTCGATTACATGAAATCAACTTTAACTTGAGAATATCCGTCAGAAAAAATCATAGCATGTAATTCGTCTTTAAAAAGACAAACACATGACATGATGACAGTAAAATTCTCCTGTTAGTGATTCCATAGTAACTTATGAGGGAAAAAAAAGGGAATAATTAAATCCTTATACGATAGAGCCAAAATTACTTGTTCTAACGAAAATTCGTTCTTGGAGGAGAAACATTTGTTAACATCTGTTTTATTAAAAAATGATTATCCTTTATCGTTTATAAATAAGGAATTTTCAACAATCGATCGAATAGAACAAAACAACTTAGAACGAGATCCTACAGCATACACAAGGAATAATATGTGGAAAATAACAATACCGTACATAAAAGGACTATCAGAAAAACTTAAAAGGATAGGAAATAAATTCAACATTTCAACAACATTCAAAACAACAAACACGTTGAGATCTATTTTGTCCAAAACCAAACCTAACAATGAACAAGAAAGGACAAATAATTGCATTTAAAAAATACCTTGTGAATGCGATCAGTTTTATTTAGGTGAATCATCAAGGCCATTAAATGTTAGAATAAGTGAATATCAATCTTATATTAAAAATAAAGAAATTGATAGATCTCAAATCTGTAAACACGCATGGGATAATGAACATAGGGTTCAATGGAATAATTCAAATGTAGTCCCAAAAGAAACGGATGGTAAAAAAACGAAAAATCAAAGAAGCGGCTCTAATTATGCTAAATGAGGCCAATTTCCTCGGCAGAATGTAGTAGGATCTGGTTACCAATATTGAAAGAGGAAGTTATTAATAAGAAAATACCAGTATTAGTAAGTCAGTGACATATAGAGGATACATCATTTATGTTTTTTTAAATAACGTAACATATAAAATCAGAATTTTGATGTTTGTTGAAGGTAAACTAAATTCACGGACAAATACTTACAACGTCGGGATAGTATTATGAGGTTTTTTTCCTGGTTTTTCCCTCATAATTTACTACGGAATCACTAACAGGAGAATTTTACTGTCATCGTGTCATGTGTTTGTCTTTTTAAAGACGAATTACATGCTATGATTTTTATGACGAATATTCTCAAGTTAAAGTTGATTTCATGTAATCGAATGAACTATCTTATAAGTAAAGTCGTCCCAGGAACGCAACTCAACAATATTGGCAATATCATTTTAAAGTCGTCTACTTTAAAATGCATAATGTATGTCTGAATTGTCAATATAGATGAGTCAGATAAAATTAAATTATTAGAAGAATTTTTCACTATGTAACAAAAAACAAAATTTGTTTAATTTACTGTTTGTATTTTGAGAACGATTTCCGAAGTGGAAATTGAAACGTCAATAAACGTATTTTTATCTTTAATTGTGGCTTATTCCCAGTTAAATAGTAATAAACATTTATCAAGGAACAATTTTTCTTCAAACTAAATTATTACTGAATATATTGATAAACTTGAATGGACGACGGATTCGACCATTACTTGATGGAAATTCATTTTATATAACAATAAAACACTGAAAACTTTGTTTTCAAAACCTCCACAAAATTGATTAAAATATTTTATCACTACAGCTGTTTCGGCAGAGTACATTTCTCAAGTACGAGAAAGCTTCATAGGTGAGAAAGGCACTCTGTCGAAACAGCTGTAGTGATTAGATTTTATAATAAGTTTTGTGGAAGTTTTGAAAAAAAAGTTGTCAGTGTTTTATTATTAGATAAACTTATTATTTACATTAGGTTTTAAATTTAATACACAAATATTAACGTGCAGCATCACTGCAATATACTTCGCTGTTCAGTTGTCGATTTAATAACTTAAAAGGCTTCTTTGTCTCATCATACTAAGTCACCACCATCATCATCAAACAGTATGCGTTCACTGCTGAACTTAGGTTTCTTTCAGCTCTTGTCATTTGTCTTTGTCTTGTGCGGCTTGCATTCAGTTACTGCTAATATGCGTCAGTTCGTTAGTCCAACTGGTTGGAGGGCGTCCCCTGCTCTGTAGTGCGTCTTGTCTGGGTCTCCAGTCGACAATACGTTTTGTCCATCGGTTGTCTAATAATCTAGTGACGTATCCTACCCAATTTAATTTTAGCGACGCGATTTTTTCGATGGCATCTACTGTTTTTGATCTACGACGTATTTCTTCATTTGGGATTTGGCCTCGTAGAGAGACACCTAGCACCTGGAGATCCATAGCCCTTTGAGTCATGTGAATCCGATTCACTGCCTTTTTTATGAGTCTTAATGTTTCCGTTTCATAAGTGAGTACAGGCAACATCATTGGTCAAAGATTTTCCTCTTGAGGCATATGGGTATGATTTTCCTCTTGAGGCCACGGGAAACCACTATAGTAAAGGCTCACAAGAGCATCCTTAGTACAATCATCAAGGCTAGCAATAACCAAATGAGTAACCTTACTGATCACGAGCCGCGAAAGGGCTTACCAGGTCGTAAGCCAGCGAAATCCCTGTGATGTAAATAATGAAACACTTTCAAAAAATATCATAAGAGGAAATATGAGAATTGCAACATGGAACGTACAAAGCTTACTACAACCAGGTAAAGTAGATAATACTGCGAAAGAAATGGAACGAATAAATATCGAAATTCTAGAAGTAAGCGATATACAATGGCCAGGGTCTGGAAAACAACGGACTAGAAACGGAGCTATATATTATAGTGGATATTCTAATAGAACAAACCGATATGGTGTGGCCATAATGGTAAGCAAGGAAATAGATAAATCAGTACTTGGTTCCAAGTAAGGAAATGGTTCCATGCTAAGGAAACATGGATGTCCATTAAATGTCAAGAAATTCAGGAATGTGAGACACTTTCAACACCCATAAGAAAGTTAAAGAAATGATTTCAGGAAATCGTAACAAACCAATCGGGATATTAACAAATACAGATGGTACCACTATAACTGAAACGCAAAACAAATTACATAGATGGAAAGAATACATTCAACATAATGCCAATGAGGCATTCGGAAGAAGATTAGAGAAAAAGGGTATGATTTAAATACATAGTTTAATTTACCAAACCGTGACCAGGCTAATATTATGCGACGTGGTAACTCACATGTCTAGTTATCTCTGCCCAACCGAATTTCATGTCCTTGATACTTATACGATGCGGTCTGCACAATATCCCTTACATCAACAGCATTATTTTGATTTAGCACCAAATTAGTCATTATTTGCGTCTTCTCCATATTAATCTTTAGTCCGACCTCCAAGGAAGCGTGATATAATTTTTCAATCATTATTATTGCATCATTTACACATTTTTTTATCAAAAACATTCCTAAAAACTTATATTATCTCCATAATTTAAACTGTTACTACATATATTATAATCGTTGAGCTGCATTTGAAGAACGCCCATATTTTAATTTAACTAGAATTAATTTTATAATTTAATTGTTTTCACATTTGCAGTTTCAATAAGTATGCTAATACATCTATGATCTTTTTGACCAAATAAGTAAATAAAAAACGGTAATGAAACGGAATAAAGACAGGGAAAAATATGATTTTTTGTTTTTAGCTATTAATAGCTGATCCACTTAAAGCAAAGGATAGAAAAATTGTATTGGAGGAGGAAAAATATAACGCAACAGATTTTATGACCCTATGGAAATTCGACGGGATTTTGAAATATACTCCACTGTTTTATGGATGGTATTCAGACAGTTCCTCGGGTGGATACAAGATGCCTATAGCATATTTTGTTACGGGATTGGCAGTTTATGGTTACAGTTTCTTTGCTACATTGAGAAAGTATGTATTAGTTATATTAGGTTCGATATTGTTTAATGACTTAAATAAAAATTATTGTTCCAAGGCTCTTTATTGTCATTAGATATTTTTGGCACTTTATGTCTCTAAATATTAGATTGTTTGGTTGTTATTATGGACCAGAAAGATACATTTAAGGTGGTTCGTTGCCTTTTTATTTTAAATTAACATAGTTTGTTAATGTTAATGTACCTATATCTTCTATCATATCTCTATCTAGTAGGTGGATCAAAGAGAACGATCTACAGCTAGAACCTTAGAAAACTGAGGTGTAAGTTCTCAAAGGGAGCCGGGAAAAATCCTCTTTTTGCTCTTTATAGTGGAAGGTGTGTTGCACCGGTTAAATCGATTAAATATCTGGGAGTCTGGTTGTCAGAAGGACTAAGGTTCGGAGTACACATCCAAAAGAATCGAGAAGGCGAACCAAACTCCGGAGGCGTTGATACGGCTGATGCCAAATATTGGAGGCCCAGGTAACACCAATAGAAAGGTGCTAAGTGTAGTTTTCCAGTTGGTAGTAACCTACGCTGCACTCGGTTGGTGTAGCGTACTAAACACTGCGAACTACGCTAAGTTAATGGAGACTTCGCAAAGGCAAATGGCAAGGCAAAGCGTAGACCGTGGTAAGAATGTAAGTTCAGGAAACTAGACTACTTCTGACGTAGTTTCTGACCGGACATGGTAGTTTTGTCACCTTTACAAATAAAATAGGCAAATCTGCCTCGGTAGACTGTACTGTTTGTGGGGCACCGGACGCTCCCGCCCACATTTTTCACTGCTATAGGCAAATGAGAGAAGAAATTTCGAGAGCCGAATGGGTTTTGGGCTGGATGAAAGAAACATTTTTAACATGTTTACATGAGAGAAAGGATGGAGAGAACTACACTGTCTGATTTCTGGGGTGATGAAGAAAAATGAGCATGAGGACAGAGGAGGAAATGGAGCCAGGGATCTGAAATTTCTGGTTAATATTATTAATTAGTTTATGGCCTAACAACATCTGAAACATTTTCTGATTTACGGTAATAGGTATGTTTATTTATAAATTTTTAGTTTTTTTATTTTAGTTGTTCATTGAGTGGCAAGACCACCTCTCTGGAACGGTGGTCAAGGTTTTAGCCTGAACACGATTAATCCAGCACAACCCTGGGATCTTCTGGCCTAGTATCCGAAAGATATATCCAAAAGATGCCAGAGTGTCTTGTTCCGTGACGTAGATCCCCAGTCCAAAAAAGATTTCCCCCACCGTTGCCTGTCAAAATTCAATGGATACCTTCTTAGACTGTTACTGGAATCTGGCAATACGGCAATTATTTTTTTGCATTAGATGCTATTTATATTGTGTTATCTGCATATATAATTATTTTTCATTTTCCCATTATTTTATACTATCAAAGGATTTGTTTGGATCCACAAAAGTTCAACAAAGAGGAACATAGTGTTTGTTGACCTTTTTTAATGAGATTTATATTGTATAGGTGGTCACAAGAACTTTTCGCATTTATAAATCCAGTTTAGTTGTATGTATCAAATTTGTGTACAATTGTTTGTACAAAATGTTAATATATCCTTCGTAAAGATTTAAAAATGAGGAATACATAAACACTCGAGAAAATAAAAAAAAATGCAAGCGTATTTTGAACTTGATCAAAAAACATTTGAGAAAGTATTTATAAATGTTAATAAATCCTTCGTAAAGATTGCGGAGTAATACATAAATATTCGCGAAAAATACAAGCTTATTTTGAACTTAAATAGTAACATTTGAGAACTTGTACTGAGAACTTAAGTACTTAGTGTTATAAAATTCTAGCAATTTTTGTGTTAACATTTATACTTTCCTCAATTTCAACAAAATTATAGTTCATTTCAATTATATTGATAGCACAATATGTATGCAAATCCCTAAACTGTTGATACGGGTGACTCAATGAAAAATAGATATTTGTCAACAAATTTACAGAAGTATATAGGAAAACAATTTTAAATTGAGTATGACCACCAGGTATAAAGGTTGAAGCAGAATAGAATACAATAGTTTTGAGGGTTACTAATCCCTAAATAAAGTTACCAGTGTCGGAGTGATAGAGATTAACGGGTACTAATGAATTTGCAAGAAATGTAAGATATTTATTTTATTGGTTATATATAAAATAATTTGTGGCCGTAACAGGGGCCGATTTGTAAAAAAATGAATATTATTTTAATCAAATTCCATTTCAGATTCATTGCTTTTTTCAGAATCTAAGGAATCTTCAACTCCAATGTTAATTATTACCGGTTCCAGCATTGCATCAGTCATATTATCCAAATTCCACATTTTATTTTCTTCCTTGTGAGCATGACTAACAGCATTTTTTCAATTTTCTGGAGTTACTTTTGATAAGGAATGTTCTAATAATTGCTGTAAGTCTTCTAATTTAAAAGTTTTGTTGTTGCGTCCGACTTCACCCTTTACTTGAGACCATATATTTTCTATCGGATTCAGATCACAGTGGTATGGGGGTAAACGTAAAATAATTACATCACGGTTTAATGCCATTTCATCAATTATATATTTTTTATAAGCTGCTTTATGTTGCCTTACAATAGGTAATAATTCCTTTTTTGTCGAATTCACCTTGTACTCAATTGCGTGTTTATCCTACCATTCGATTATATCTTCTTTTTTCCATGCCGTTGTTGGCAATTTTTCCGCTAGTCTTGAATGGTAACTAGCATTATCCAGACTATGACAGAATTTTTTGGAATTAAATGCAATAATTGCTCAAAATATTGTTCAAAAACGTCAGCAGTCATTTCCTCGCGGTAATCTTTGGTTGATTTTGAGGCAAAACTTAATAATCCACCATTGACAAAACCGTATTCGTTTCCAATATGGGTTATTATGAGTCTGCGTCTTTTTCCAACGGGAATATTGTTTATTTCAGTAGATATACCTTCGATGAATGCCTGACGGGAACTTTTCACATTTGTATCAACCCATAGATATGGTACAGTATGACCTTCATTTAGCCAAGTCTAGTCCAAATAAAAAATTGTTTTCCCTTCTTCTCGGTACTTCTTAATTGTTCTTAGATAATCTCGTCTCCAATATACAATGTAATCTTTTTCAATTAAAACGGATTTTCTTCTATACTTTTGCCAACGAAATCCCATCTCTCTCAATAGTCCCCATAATTTCTTGTTGCTTAGGATTGGTAACTCTTCGTTTTCTCTAATTAATGTTTGTATTTTGTCCAATGTTGGAAATTCTTTGTTAAAAAAAATGAGTGGACGCTGTGCGTCTTATCATGTTTTTATGTATTTCTTCAATTTCCAAGGGTTTACTCCCTCCACTCTTCTTGGGAGATGAAACAGTTCCTCATTTTCTTTCTTTTAGGAATCTATAAATTGTTGCTTATCCAACCCCTGTCATATTTGAACACATGTTAACGATTTCACCAACATTACTTAAAGGGCGTTGATGTACAAGTGCATCGTGTACATTTAATATTATATTTTTCTCTCTTAGACTGAAGGCACCTTTAAAACTACACTTAACCGGGATAAAACCTGTTGTTGACGTCATTTTTAAATGCAAATAACAAAATATGGACACCAAAAACGTAGGTAGGTAAGACATGAACAATGTACATCTACAAACTAAATGGAAGATGCAAACAATTTCTAATTTATATTATTGGTATAAGCTGTAATGTGGCATAAACACTACTTAAACTATCATTAGTAAAGCCTTATCTATCAGTAATTCCAGGCAATCGTTCAAAGAAGGTATTCTTCTTGTGTCAGACGATAGCTTGTATAGAAAACAATAATCACCTTTAAATTACTGTTTACATTAATTTATTTCGTGGAACATTGAATTCTCTCGTTAATCACCCGTGTATAATTAACAATAATCGTGTGACATATATACCGACGTTTTTTACGCACAAAAAAGGTATAGTGAGATTAGTGGACACTTATTTTACAGAAGATTTTTTAAAAAATAATGAATTGTTGATGGCATCTTAAAATATTAATTTTTTTTTTATTTCAAAACAAGTATAGGGTGACGCCTTTGGTTTTTTCACCTGTTGAGGATTTGCATACATAACGTGCTATCAATATGATGAAAAAGGACTTTAGTTATTTATAATGCTTTAAAATTGCAGAATGGCTGAAAATTCCCGTGTGTCGAAATTATCAGAAAAAGATGACGAATGTGTATTCACATGGAAGGTTTTCACAGCATGGGATTATATGATCGCTAATGCCGAAACTGCACATAATAGAGTAGCCGCTATTGTAATGGGCTTTAAAGAAGCTTTATTGGAAGAGGCTGAAAAGAAGAAGGTAACAGAAACGTAAGTTTACATAGATATCGGGTATTTGTATAAACAAAATTATTAGTATCGTTTAGTTTTGGGAAAAATGTGGAAAAACTTTGCTCTACAAACTACGACGCATATCCTTCACTTACTCCTTGCGCACTTTGTCCATTTACTTTGTTTGTCGAATTCAAACAATTTATACTATTATATTTCTTTACACCAAGCATACGAATAGCGGGTTAAAACAAATCTGCTCACGCGAGGTCATAAATTTCCCAGCGTCTTGTCACCGGGGACACCATGTCCAAACCCAAAATATTCCTATCTTCAGTCTTCCCTCCCTCCACATCTAAACCAACTCACCAACACGTACTAGCTAAGGGTATCGTTTATAGCTAAAATACCCAAAAATAATTTTCTATAAAAGATGATATTGCTTAACGGCTCTCTCGAATACCATTCCGTTCAAATAATAAACACTTTAAATAATAAGTTTGCTTTGGATGTCTGGACATACTGGTATTAAAGGAAACTAAAATCCGGATCTACTTGCCGTGGGAAGGACAAAATAAACATTCATATGCCCCAAACCTTTCATTTGCATAGTAAAAAGCACAGACAAAAGATAAAAATTGGACTAGATGGAACGGATGAAATGTAATCACTGGTACTAACAAATATCTTTTACTACTACTTTTATATATGAACCTTCGAAGAAGGTATCCAAAGATTTACTAAAAATAAATAATATTAATCTGCACATTGATCGTAGGTCTCTTAACAAGGCACTATGTAACTTCTCAGGTGTTGTGAATTGTCTCTTTTCTTTAACATAAGTAGCGAACCAAAGGTTGTACTGGCAGGCTGAATATAAAGACTTGGATTCAAGATTCCTTCGTCGAAACAATTGTTAAGTCGAATTGGTAGTAGTACGTAGTTTAATGAGTTTAAAGCACATTATTTTATGTAGCACAATTACAAATAAACTGAATGAAATTAGAACACTAGCTGAAGAACAACAAGGTTTTAAGTCGGAAGGATCATGCACCAACGCTGTATTTATAATGAGGCAAGTACAAGAGCAATCACTAGAATACAGCAAACCGACGACTGTCTATGTTTCGTGGACCTTCAGAAGGCATTTGACCGGGTCAAATTAAAGGACATTATCCATTTATTGTACGCAAGAGAGATACCTCTAGGACATGATACTATGACTTCCAAGATAAAACCACTTCGCAATCGAATTTTGTACGTCGATGCGCATGACGTCAATTGGTGATAAAAGTTTATCTTTAATTTAATATTCTGAAATATATTTTATCAAAAATGCACACATTTATTTATCAACGTACTAGATAAACCATAAAACAATACTAAATCTGACAAAACTCCATGCAAAACACAACATTTCTGGTGATATTTGTCGCCAAGTGACGTCACAAGTGCAAAAGAGATAGACTGATCGCGTGCGCGTGGGTTTATCTTTAGTTCATAGTATCATGCATCTGGAATAGTCAAAATGATCAAAAATATCTACCAAACCAACGCAATAAAGGTAAAAGTAGAAGAGGAACTAAGTCATTGAATCTGACAATGGGTTAAGACAGGGAGATTTCCTAAGTCGTCTATTGTTGAACCTGATTATGGATGCAAGAATAAAAAAGGAACTAAAATATGATACCAAATGGGCGAAAAATAACTTTAAATAAACTGCTGCAGATGACGCAATACTACTCTCTCAAAGTGAAGATGATTTACAACGTACGCTGCACCAATTTAATACAACTGCCAGAAAATTGAACATATTAATTTCCCCAAAAAAGACAAAATGCATGGTTACAGCAGCAAATTTACTAAGATGTAAATTGGAGCTGGAACGTCAGATAATGGAACAAATGATGAAGTTTAAATATCTTGGCATCACATTATCTAGCTACGGAAAGGTCGAAACAGAAGTGGAAGATCGAGTGAATAAGAAGTGGAAGATCGAGTGAATAGAGCAAACAGAGCTGCAGTTTGCCTAAAAAAACAATATGGAGAAATAAGAATATCCGGAAAAAAATGAAAGGCAGAATTTACAAAATAGTCATCATACTAATAATGACATACGCGGCAGAAACACGACCTGACATAGAAAGGACAAAAAGGATATAAGAAACTGCAGAGACGAAAAATTAATGGTAGAACACTGGAAGGACTGGGTAAGAAATAGAAGAGAAGAATGGAACGATCATGTAAGCCCAATAACAACAAACAGAATAGTAAAGAGACAAGACACGGTTCTCCAATAGAAAGACAAACAGTGGGAAAACCACGAAAACGATGGAATGTCAACTTATTGGAGGCACATTGAAAAACAAACAGTCTTGTTTGCATAAGAAGACGAAAAAGAAGAAGAAAAAAATTACAAAAATACTTTATTACAAAACGTATTTAACTAAGATTAAGTTTTTTCTTTATTTGTCTGCTATGTACGAAAAGTTGTGTTGGCGGGAGAGTGTCTCGTGAACCTATAATGCTTTTTGGGGTATACTGTCCGTGGTGAGGTGCGATTAAAGAATGCCAAAATGGCGTTTCAATCCAAAAATTTATAGGCATAATTCAAACCGCCAAATTCATCGTCTTTAAACATAAAGAATAAATGATTCTTGATGGTATGTTAAGACTTGGGTTAAATAGAATAAGGCTTAATATATTTGAGCATTATCAACTCAAACCCAATTACTTCGCATGCTGTCATCAAAGGCCATAACAGAGGTTGTTAAAAAGGCTGGGCTGAAATGTAACACACTCTTAGATTGAGTGGAAGGGTGGTTAAGCGCCCACTTATTTGGTACCTAATTTAACCTACGTACATAAACACCTTCCCATCTTTTATTACCTGTTAGCTGACTGTATTTCTATTGTTACATGATTGAAACTAAATGATACCAATTAAAAAAAATTAAAAATATAGACTCATCTCATTGTTTGTGTAATCGGCGTAAGTTATTATCTTTTTTTAATATTTTTTACCTCTATAATCAAAATTCTGCTTTACTGACATGAATATTACAATGATTTTTTTAGATGGAGAGTGGTATCTATACGAGTCATGGTAAATGTAATTGTTATTGCCCTACTTGCACTATCCATGTACATTGTAGTATTGGTGGTGAAAAGGTCTACAGAGCCAGAAGCAGAAAGTTCCTTTTGGAGAAAAAACGAAATACCGGTTGTTATATCGGCTTTGACTTTTATTTTTCCTATATTTTTTGAGGTGCTAGGTATTTTTGAACAATATCATCCACGGAAACAATTAAGATTGCAACTGGGCAGGTAAGTTGTGTAGAGCAGTAGGTATATTCAGTGTTACACCCATTTTAAGGATTTTTAATTCCTTATACAGCAATTAAGAAATTTTGTAAATTAATAGTTAAAAAATAATAATTTTTATATTTAAAGCTATTGACTAGCTATCGAACTATTATCAAATATTTTAATACTACATGTTTCATAGTATTAAAAAATTAATAAATAAAAATGTGTTCACTTCATCTTCCCTCACTAGAGGTCGCTAGGAGCATACTCTGGTAATTATTTTTCCTATAATTGCCATAGTAGTCGGTGCATTTTGATTTTGATTTGGTTTGAGTCTTATTACGAGTTTTTCTGATGACGGACCCAGAAACACGTGTTAGGGAATGGTAAGAGACTCAAATTAAATCGAAACTAAACCGTCTACCTATATATATATATATATATATATATATATATATATATATATATATATATATATATATATAATTAAAAATTTGTTGGAATAAAATGTTTTCATGTAATTATTTTATTTGGATTGTATATCCCGATTAGTAAGACAAATAACTTGTTTATTGATACTTACACTTAATAAGACTGTTCTCTATATGAAGATTAAACAAATGGATGCTGTGAAGCAAAAACGGCATAAACGATATTAACTTGGTTTTTCAAGAAATACGCAGTACTGATTATTTTTATTTTTACTAACTCTGTTTTATCTGCACAGTGGCTCAAAAAATCAGTAATTTTTTAAACCAATTTTAGTATTTATTGAACATCATTGAGCCGCTTAAATACTGCCTAACCTAATTATAAAACTATAAAACGGCGCTTAAGTTTAATCAAGACATAACACTGGTGCATGTACCAAACTTACCTCTGGCGTTTATGTCGATCGCATCGTTGTAACGTTAGCCAATATGGCTCTTGTGTGTATGTGAGTGTGTGTGTGTGTGGAGATAGCTTTGGTTTCGAACTATGTTTATTAGCCACAGATCGTATTAATAACATATTCATCAGGATTCTGACTTTACAACCCTGCGTGGGTCCTAAACTCCTCAAGATTTTTTCTGCCCCTATTCATCACCTTCCTCCGTCTAGCTCGTATTCCCATATTTCTCATGTGTCTATCGATGTTATCAAGGAACCTTGTTCTGGATCTTCCTCTTTTTCTCTGACCAATGGGTCTATCAAGGAGCATTTTTCTATCTGGGTCATTTTGTTTCATCCGCATTACATGTCATATCTACCTCAGACACCCTATCTTAATATATTTTACGATATCGGATTCCTGGTATATTCTATAAAGTTTGAAGTTGTATCGTCTTCTCGAAACTCTATTGTAATTCACTGCTCCATAGATTCGCCTTGGTATTTTTCTTTCGAAACATCCTAGTATGTTTTCATTATTTTTTGTCCAGGTCTCTGAACCATATATTAGGAATTACCATCTCTGTGGTATTATTATTTTCAGTGTTAAGGAGCGCTCCCAGGTATATAAATTCGTTTACTGCTTCGATAATGTCGTTTTCTATAACAAGTGGTCGTAGGATTAGTGGTTGCGTGCTTATTTTCATATGCTTCGTTTTGTTGGTGTTTATTATTAAACCCATTTGGGGGTTTAATAACCCATTAAATAATTATCTATTTTATATGTATAAACTGCCCATGGTCTAGATTTATCGAATATCTGTTTGATTTACCAATTATTTGATAATCAAGTATTTTATGTCTTTAGACGGAGGAAACGCATGTATATGAACAATTTAATTTAATTTTTTAGCATATAAGAAATGAGTTTAAGAGTTTGTTATATTTTATGATGCAATGTGAATACCCCGTGTACAATCTTTATAAATTAATTTTTAATTTTAGGATTATGGTGCTTAATTTGGTGAACCTGTATTCGCTAATATTCGCATTGATTGCCAAAATAGGCGATATGGTAAGAGTCATAAACATAAAATTGGTAATTTTTTAATTTAGTTATGTCGTTTAAGGTCGATTTATGCATGTCAAATTGGGGACAATTAGGCAGAAAAATTTCGCATAAACTGCTTAACGTACTGAGTTATACTATACCGAGTTAACTACCGAGTTAACTCGGTATTAAACTACGTGTCTATGTTCGCATAACCGAGTTAACTCGTGCTTAAAATGTTTGTACTATATATAATGCGCCTACGCGTTTTAACTCGTTTACAGTAATAACGATTCCTCCTGTGACTATGCTATGAATATGGTGCAAATTACAACCAAATGCTCCTGCATCCCCATATTTTCCGTTTACTGCTATTTCGAATATAAATTTTATTGCTACCGATTGAATATATTGCAATTTTTTAAACATTTCTTGGATGATGACATGACCTAATAAATTCCATTGTAGAAGAAACCAACCGATTTGTGGATCAAAACAATAGAGACAGTGATTGGTATCCGATAACTTCGACGGAACTGAGAATTTTTTGGGCCTCATTATTTTGTAAAGCATAATCAAGAAACCTGAAATCACACCAATATGATAGTATTGGTGTAAGAATCTACTGATGACAACACTTTTTTTCTTAAAGTGTTTAATTATAGTTTATTTTTATGAACGAGAGAGTAATTAGCATAATTTTAACTGGTACCTCCGACCACTCCATGGGCGTGCTCAAGATTAATTGAAAAATTTCTTTGAATAATTGTAAAAAATAAATAAATTATTTCAGTGTTATAAAGTGTTATGTGTATGTAAACAAAAGTGACCTCTTTTATCACACACTATATTAGAACTGACTGGCCTACATTAAAAAGGGTTTTAAAAAATTCACATTTTTTTAATTTTTAAAAATTACAAAAGAGAAAAAGAGTTTTTAAAACCGTCTAAGGTATGTTAAATAGATGAATAAAAATATTAATATAAAACTTACAGCTACTTGTTACAAATCCAAATCAGAATTCAGAAGATGAACTTTCAGAACCAAGATTTGTAATAACTAGCTCGATCATTTTATCAGTAATATTGTCCAGCTTCCACATTTTTTCCTCTTCTTTAATAGTGTGATTTACTGCCTTTTCCCAGTTTTCAGGTTTTACATTATTTACGGCCTCCAAAAACAACTGTTTAACATCATGAATTTTAAAAGTGGTATTTTTTCTTGAAACTTTATCTGTGCCCATATCAGTTCAATCTGGTTTAATTCACAATGATATGGTGGGGATCTAAGTACTGTCATTCCACGATTTTTGGCAATTTCATCAATTTCGTATTTTTTAAATTTTTCTTTATGAAAAGCACACAACGAATAAAGTTCCTTTCTTATAGATCCGGGATGGTACGTAATATTTTTTGAACTCAACCAATTCTGTAAGTCTTTTTTTAACCACTTGGTTGTGGGCAGTCCTTCTATAAGTCTGGAGTGATAACTTGCATTATCCATTACTATTACACAGTTCTTAGGAAGAAGATTTATCATTTGTTCGAACCATTCTTGAAAGACATCAGCGTTCATGTCTTCATGGTAGTCACCGGTACGAGTTGATTCAAAAGTTAATAAACCACCTTCAACAAAACCGTCTGAACTGCCAATGTGTACTATTATCAGCCTGCGTCCCTTTCCTGATGGTGGGTTTAAACCAGTAAATAAGTTATTTACAAAAGCGTGCCTTTGACTTGTAACAGTTTCATCCTGCTAAAATTTATTTGGTGTATGACCCTCGTTGATCCATGTTTCACCAAGATAAAATATTTTTCTTTTTTGGTTTCTTATTTCCTTTATGGTTCTTAGAAAATGTCTTCTCCATATGACAATATCGCTTCTTTCTAATAAAATAGACTTTCTGGGATTCTTTTTCCAGCGGAAGCCTATTTCTTTTAAAAGTTTTCATAACGTACTTCGACTCATTTCTGGGTAATCCTTATCATCTCGAACTGAGACAAGAACTTTATCCAATGTTGGAAATTCTGGTCTAAAGAAGAATTCATGCACTTTCCGTCGAAGTCCTTCTTTAAAATGATATTCTATTTGAAATTTTGGTTTACCTGGAGCATTACGTGGCATTTGAAAACTACCACATTTCTCTTCTTTAATAACTCTGTAAATCGTAGATTTCCCAACACCAAGTGTACTGCTAACTAACTCAACGGTCTCATCAACACTTTCACATAAACGTTTGTCTGTAAATGATTTAAAACAATTAAATATTAATGTTTTTTCATTAACTGTTAAAGGACCAATTTTTTCGGCGTCTACACGGCACTTCCAAATTTTCCATAACACTAGTATACACAATAAACTGCACCTTGCAACTGAAGTACCTACTTTTAGTGAACTGTTAAGAATTTTGAATACGCCACTTGGACCTTCCTACAAAATGGAAAAACCCACTATCACATTTTCTGTGGAATAAGTTTAGAAGGTCATTATCTATTGAATTACTGTCGTAGATTCCTGGAATTAAAGAATTAAATGTTTGATTGTTGAAACCCTTACTTCGTGGAATGCACTCATTTCAGATAAAATAAAACGTTTTATTTTATCTAAAGAATTAAACTTTATTTTGCAAATAGGTAGGTACTTATTAAACTTTTATTGGTTATATATAACCAATAAAATAAACATCTTACATTTCTTGCAAATTCATTAGTACCTGTTAGCCTCCATCACTCCGACACTGGCAACCTTATTTAGGGATTAGTAACCCTCACAAGCATTGTATTCTATTCTGCTCCAACCTTTATACCTGGTGGTCATACTCAATTTAAAATTGTTTTCCTATATACTTCTGTAAACTTGTTGACAAATATCTGTTTTTCATTGAGTCACCCGTATCAACAGTTTAGGGATTTGCATACATAATTTATTGTTTTATTACTCTCTCATACATAAAAATAAACTATAATAAACGGTCTGAAGCAATAAATTAATACCTTCAATTCAGCAATAATAATAATTTCGATGCCGTAACACATCCTAATCCTAAGCTGAACAAAATTTGGCCAGTGTACGAAAAATTATTTGTCAAGTTTCGTACGCAGTGGCACCTAAAAAACATGTAATCATCGATGAAAGCCTACTTTGATACAAAGGTCGCCTTGGATGGATCCAGTATATTCCAATGAAAAGAGCCAGGTTTGGAATAAAAACCTGTCTATTGGGTGAATTAAAAAGTGATTATGTGTGGAATTTTCTCATTTACACAGAATGGCAGATCTCGGTCCGGATTAAGCAGACCTTCCAGTTTCAGCTCAAGTTGTTGTGACTATGTCGAAGCCAGAACTCAATCAAAGATACTGTTTGACCATGGACAATTTTTACAATTTACGACAACTTGCTGATATACTTATTTGCAATAAAACTTATGTGTACGGAACATTGAAGGTATTCAGAAAAAAAGTTTCAACAGAATTAAAATAAACAAAGTTGCAAAAAGGTGACATTATAGCCTTTCAAAGCAGTAATGTACGTGCTCTCAAATGAAACAATAAAAAGGATATATCATTAATTTTAACTGTCCACTCCAACACTACTCGGGAGGTAACAAAAAGAAATTACAGTGTCGACCGTGTCGATCGGCAGATTATAATCTTCCACGAACAAGAAAAAAAAAGTAATATAAGAAAACTTTCTTTCACCTATTAGATTTAGCTTTCTGAAATTCCTTCGTAATATTTTGCTAAACTGGAGAAAATAAATCTTCATCAGTTTATAGACTTGAACTAATACAACTTATAATGGAGAAGTATCATCGAGATGATTTCGCATGTTGCAAAGGACGTGCATCAACGAGTCTTACACCTGTTAGACTCACATTACGTCATTTTGTCGAGTTTAATCCGGCTACGGCAAAAAACAGAATCCTACTTGTCAATGGGGAGTATGTAGTAAAGTTCAAGATGCAAGAAGATTAGAAAACAAGCAAGATATTTCTGCCCTGACTGTGTATCACTCCTTGTTTTAGAGTGTATTATACCAATATTTAAAAATACGTGAATTATGATTTTCTTCTCTTACTTTTAGTATTTTTGATATGTGGGCCCGAGTTAATTCGGGTGAGCGTATGAGGGTATTTGTTATTTTATATGTTTCTAATAAGATATGCTTTTTTTAATTTAAATTATATCTAGTGGCAATAGTCTTGTTGGTAGTTTATTTTACTGTAAAGATCTATACTATACAAATGTTTTAAAAATCGATTTAAACAACCAAATTTAAATAATAAAGTAAAAGGAATACCAACACATTATTAAGTGTTTCGGCGATGACACAGTCATTCTGGGGAAATTCATACTATATAGAAGAAACATTTTATCTATCTAATTAGCCTTCTTCGGTCCATCTTTGGACATAGGCCTCCCCAATACTTTTCCATTCTTCTCTGTCTGTCGCTACAGTCATCCATCTAGAGCCCACGTGCTTCTTGATATCATCTGCCCATCTCATTTGGGGCCTTCCTTTGCTTCGTTTATATTCCCACGGTCTCCACTTATAAGAATTTTGTTCCATCGGTCTTCTTTTTGTTTTATATTGTGTCCGCAAATCTCCATTTCAATTTTGCAACTTCTTGTCTAACATCCCTCACTTTTGTTTTCTCTCTTATCCACTCGTTTCTCTTCTTATCCATTTTTCTTATGTGCAACATTTGTCTTTCCATTGCTCTTTGGGTTTTTATGATTTTGTCCATGTTTGCTTTTGTAGATGTCCACGTTTGGGAACCATAAGTAAAAACTGGGTCTTTGGTCTTAAGATGCTGTGGATATCATATGTTTTTAAAAATGTAGCTTAGTTTGCCAAATGCCGCCCATGCCAGTCTAACTCGTCTCTTGATCTCTGCTGTTTGGTTCTCTTTGTTAAGTTTTATAGTTTGACCAAAATATATATAATCCTTAACTTGTTCTATTTCATCTTGTCCGATTCTCATTGTGATATCTTCATCTGTATTTGTTATAGTTTTGGTCTTGCTGTAATTCATATTAAGGCCTATCTTTGCAGCTTCTACGTCCAGTTCTTTCATCATTTCAAATAATTCTTCTTTTTTATCGGTTATCAATACGATGTCATCAGCGTTCCTTAGATGGTTCACGCGTTGTCCACAAATTTTTATACCTTTTTTTTCCCATTCTCATCTTTTAAAAGTATCTTCAAGAGCCTGATTGAAAAGTTTCGGTGATATTGTATCACCCTGTCTCACGCCTCATTACAAATAAGTAGAGGCGTGAGAAGAAACATTATGTCCTGAAAATTAACGAGAATAAAACCAAGTGAATGACTATCAGCAGACAGCTTTTAAACCCATTCCAAATACTAATGAACAATAAATTCATAGAGAAAGTTAAAAAGTTTAATTTCTAGCACCAATTAAATCTGTCTAAGAGAGACTCTAGACGACTACATAATTACAAACACCTTTTACAAACTAGCCAGGCGAAGACTGTATACCTGGAAATCCCACCAATATAACAAGGAGAGACTGGTTAGAAATCAGATGCATCATTGGTTGCACACGCTGATTAGATAATAAATATCCCTTAGAAGCACGAATTCTTATAAAATTTAAGAAAAAAAAAACACTTAAAATGACTAAATCGAATTAATTTGATGTTGTGTATTTACAAAACTTTAGCTGGAGCTTCCCTTAATTCCATGAACGGTAGGGCCGATCCTATAAGACGTGCACCACAAGCGGACAAAACTATGACTGGTCGCAGGCCGTCCCTAATTTCGAACTAAAAAATTAATTTCTAATTTCAACCTGGTTTCTTGGACCTTCTTAAGGTCCACCATCATTAAAGTGTTCTTAAATTTTTCCCATTTTTCGTTGGAATCTCATTATCATTGATTATTGTTTTGCTTAACTCCTCGTTAATTTTCAACGTTAGTTCTCCTTTTGTATCGGGTGTTTCAGCAGAGTGCTTATTTGTTGTGTCTTTTGTTGTTTTTTTTTTATTTTCTTTAAGTGAATTTCAAATTTTACGATTACTGATTGTGGTCTGATGACACATCTGTTCCTGGATATATCTTTGCCGATTTGATGGAGTTACGGTATCTCTTATTGATAAGGATATAATCTATCTGGTTTCTGATAATTTTTTCTTGGCTATCCTTCATCTTGGCTATCATTTCAAACTCCTGACAGAATTCCGTTAGTCTTTCCCCTCTTTCGTTCCTTATTCCTAGCCCGAATTCACCAATAATGTCTTGGAATTTACCTTTTCCTAATTTGGCATTAAAATCCCCCATTGTTATTATTATATCTCTATTATTGGTGCTTTCTAGTGCTTTTTTAATATCATTGTAGAACTCTACTATTTCATTTTCATGTTTATCTGCAGTAGGGGCGTACACCTGTATGATATTAAGAGTTCTATGCGTTGTTTGGGCTGTGATCATTAACACTCTATCCGATATAGGAACAAAACAAGTTACAGCTTGGCAGAAACTGCGATCAACCACTATAGCGACGCCATTATAGTGGTGAATATCTTCATTTCCTGAATAGTGTATTTTGGCACCGTCGACTTCGATTTCGCCAGATCTAGGCCATCTGGTCTCGCTTAGTCCCATTATATTAACTTTAAGTCGCCTCATCTCATGTATTACATTGTGACTCTTCTGTGCTTCATATATAGACTTCACATTTCAGGTACCTATCTGCAGTTCGTTTATATTTTTGTGCCTGATGCGGAGTTTTCGCATGTTAGCGACCTGGGAGGCCCCGCGGTCTAACTGTGAATTGCCTCCCCTGCCAGATCTTGGTATCCGATGTCCATGATCAGTAGTTGTGAAATTGTTATTTATAGTAGCCATGATAGTTGACAAGAGATATCTATTTACAGATCTTTAATGTAGTGGTTTCTCGTTGCCTTCTACATTCTTCTGTCGTTGACCATTTCTTTGTTTCATCTTCAAATTTTCACCTTCAATTTTCTTCTCGAAGAAATAGGCGACCGAATTTAAATATAGCTGTGAAAGTGTCTAAGATGTTCCACGTATAGGACGTCCAAAAACGACAGTAACACCGGAAATCATCTACAAAGTGCATGCCATAGCTTTGAAACATCTTTTATAAAGGTAAATCAAATTGCTAATCCTCGAGGATATTAGGAAATCGAAAGTGAATATGAAAAATTTTTGATAAAGAAACTTTCAGAGACGCATTTGGCGCGTTTTAAAAAAAATAAAAATTACTTTTTGCATCGATACGTTAAAATGAATAAAATAGGATCCAATTCTGAACAATCAGTTTAAACGAGATATGCAAATGAAAGTTTACTTTTCACCTGAATTAATATTTTTTTGTATTTTAGTTTGCGGGTTGTAAGTATGTTGTTTAATAATCAAATGTTTTTTAGACTGAAGAACTACAAAGCTTTAGAAAGTTAAATAAACTACTAAATGAAACCTTAGCAGCTTCCACTCAAGCTTCAACTGCAGATTTTTGGCAAACGGAATGCGACTACAAGTGTATAGATTATTCCGGTATGGAGCTTTATTCTGATAATCTGGTTGTGGAGTTGGTATCAAATATATCTACATACATGCTCAATAACATTACCAGATTTGTCAATGAGTCCTCACTAGAAATGACTTTTCTAAACAATTCTTTAATCAGTTTTCTCACGGAGACAGTAAAAGAAAATGTTATGCCCTCTGTTAATGTCACTACTGAAAATATTACTATTTTTAATTATCAAGATTTAAATTATACGGATTTAGAATATAAGTTTGTGGACTACCTCACTTATATTCTTGATTCTGTGGGTGATTACGATAATCTTACAACAGTTTATCCAAACGACACTTTAGATAATAACTCTTCAACACCTTATTGGGAATACATTACTTCTACTATCCTTCCTCTTTTTACAAATGGCACCGATCTCACTGAAGCAATCAGGTTTGATTACGAAACCACGCCTTTCTCTTCTACTTCCATAGCACTACCAGAATCGACTACTGAGATATTAAATTGTACTAAAGAATGTAGAGAAGTATATGCACCAAAAAATACAGATAATCTTGAACATGGACTGAACTATACTATGAAAGCAAGATTTAGAAGCTTATGTTGGGAAACAATGTTTGGTCAAGAATTAATTGGCATTACAGTATGGGACCTAATAATGACTATAGTACCATCATTGGGAATGGATTTTTTTAGAGGAATCTTTGTAAGAGTAATGAACAGGTAAGTTAGTATTTCTTTTTGACTAAACAACTAACTAATTTAACTATTTTAAAATATGATAGCAACATACTATATTTTTGTAAAACTTCCTGAATCTATGTACACACTAAAACTTATGAAAACTAATGATCTATCTATTTGGATACTCCTGAATATATATCATTTAACATAGAAATGCCCCCTTTTTTATATTGTTTGTTTAAGGTCTTCTTCTCACTTTTCTCCCTTAGGCAAGACACTACTTGTTTTGTCACCTGGTTGTGAAACTTAACCAACAAGTCTTGTGCTTCAGATAAAAGCCATTAATTTTCTTACAATGAATTTAAGATTTTTTTCTGGCTATGCAGATCTCAATTTCAAGAGATATAAATTTCAACTTTAATGGAATCATCATCATCTTTGGCTCGACAATCCTCTGTGGATCTTGGCCTGCTCTAAGATTCGTCGCCATTCTGTTCGGTTTTTGGCAACATGTTGCCATCTTCTGATTTTTAATATTCGTAAGTCGGTTTCTACTCCATCTAACCACCTAATTCGCGGTCGGCCTTTGCTTCTTTTTCCTACAGGTGTTCCTGTGGTTAGCTTTTTAGCAATGGTATTTTCTGGCATTCGTATTATGTGTCCATCCCATCTAAGTCGCTGTGTTTTAATGAACGTTATGACATCTGGCTCATCAAAAAGCTGATACAATTCAAAATTATATCTTCTGCGCCACTGCCCTTGGTCGTTTACAGCTCCAAATATTTTGCGGAGTATTTTACGCTCAAATATTCCCAAAAGTCTTTCATATTTCTGCGTTAGAGTCCATGTTTCTGCTCCATATGTGAGGACCGGCCTTAGCAATGTTTTGTATATAATAATTTTAGTTTTTCTTTGAATGTTTCTTGAGTGAAAATGCTTTTGGAATCCATAGTATGCCCTATTTGTAAGATTTATTCGTCTTTTGATTTCTTCGATTGTTTTATTGGTAGCAGTCAATAACGACCCAAGGTATGTGAAGTTGTCAACACGTCCAAAGGTATGACTTCCAAAATTTGCTATCGGATCCTTTGTAACCAACATGTACTTGGTTTTGTCTTTGTTGATGACTAGACCGACCTGTTTCGCCGCTGTTTCCAAATCTAGGAGATATTGCTCAACATCTCGCTTGCTACGCCCTACTATGTCAATGTCATCAGCATATGCTAAGACTTGTATCGATCTATTGTAAATAATACCGCCATCCCTAATTCGTGTATCTCGGACTGCCTTTTCTAAGGCAATATTAAATAGGAGGCAAGCCAGAGCATCTCCTTGTCTGAGTCCATTCTTTATCTCAAAGGATCTAGAACTCTCTCCCTGTATTCTAACAGTGGCTTCTAAGTAAGACATTGTCATTCTCATTAGTCGGATAAATTTCTCTGGTATACCAAACTCATGCATTGATTGATATAGCACTGTTCTCTTGACACTGTCGTATGCGACCTTGAAGTCGACGAATAGGTGATGGGTTTCAATATTGAATTCTAATGTTTTCTCGGGAATCTGTCTTATTGAATGAATCTGGTCAATTATTGATTTTTCTGGAGTGAATCCAACTTGATATTTACCAATTATGCCCACTGTGTAAACTTGCAACCTTTCGTAGAGAATATTTGCTAATATTTTGTAAGCAGTTGTTAACAGGGTTATACCTTTATAGTTGTCACACTGGAGCTGGTCACCTTTTTTATGTAACGGGCATATCACACCTTGAGGCCATTCACAAGGCATGGTCTCATTATGCCAAACAAGAAGTAAAAGCTTATGCAGTGTCTGTAGTAGGGCATCGCCACCATTCTTGTAGAGCTCAAATTTGATCAACTCCTGTAGATTTATTATTTTTAAGCTTTTTAATGGCTTGGGCAACGTTTTCGATGGTAGGTGGTCTTTCGTTTGGGTTGAAAGGATTCCAATCATTTCGATCTGCTAGGGTGTTATCTGCTTCTTCGATATGATGGCCATTAAATTTTGCATCGAAAAATTCAACCCATCTGTTTAGGATTGAGGCTGTATCATTTAGGATGTTTCCTTCTACATCCTTACAGCTCCTTATTCTTGGCTTAAACTCTTTGCGCATTTTGTTTAGATTTCTGTAGAACTTTCGAGTTTCATTTTGATTTCTTAGCCATTCTGTGCTTTCCAACTGCTTTTGTTCAAATTGTCTTTTTTTCTTCTATATAATCGTTTTTCTTCTCTTCTTAGTGTCCGGTATTCTTCCTTTGCTCTTCTTATGCATCCAGCTTAATTTGTCTTTAGGTATGCCCTGTTTTTGTTATCTGTTGCTTCTTGGCACTCCTTGTCAAACCATTCGTTTTCTTTAACTGGTTTGGTTTTCCCCAATATTTTTGTTGCTTTCTCAGTTATTATGTTTTTACATTTTGTCCACAGTTCCTCTACATTTTCCCCCACCTCCAAGTTCTCCATTTCCTCGTCCATTTGTCTCCTATACTCTCTCGCAACGGTTTCAATGCGTGGATTATCAACATTAATTCTGTCTTGTTTCGTGTGTTTATCTTTCTTTGGGTTTGATATTCTTCCTCTTATTTTTGCCATTACAAGAAAGTGGTCACTGTCAATGTTTGGGCCTCGGTAGCTTCTGACGTCTATGAGATCGGAGGAGTGCCTTGCATCTATCAGGATGTGATCTATCTGGTTAATGGTTTCGTTATCAGGGGATTTCCATGTTCCTTTGTATATCATTTTATGGGGAAATCTTGTTCCTCCTACTATCATGTTTTTAGTACTTGCAAAGTTTATTAGTCTCTATTAGTCTATTTTAACTTGAATGGAATGTATAACCATAATTAGCTCTTATTTCCAAAAATTTGATTCCCTAGTATTCTTCTGGTAGTTCTACTTATTGCCTGCTTATTTGGTCTTCTCCGTGGAAGGGATTGTCAGCTGCATAGGGTTAATTGCTTCCAACGCAGCATATTAAATTCTTTTCTAAGACAGCAAGGGCGTCTTAGAAGAATAGAGATGGAACGGGCCGATTACCACGCAGTTCGGCGAGAAACGGAAAGTGACTAAGCAACACTTAGGCCACGGGAAAGTATAGGTATGTCTCAGATCAATGCTCCAAGACCGGGTACGGAACTGCCACTAGATTGACACTATCAGAAGTGGTTGGCCTTTAGTCAATACACTAGAGTCAGTGGAGTTATCAGATCAACACTCTAATAAAACTCCAGACGGTTGGCCTTCAGTCAGCACCTAGAGGCTCGATGGAGTTCCCACTGAATCAGCATTGTAGCAGAACTCAATTCTCTCGTTGGGCTTTCATCTACTCTAACGCGGATCGATGAAAGAGGAACTTTTGTGGTGGGAGTGCCTGCGTACGCGGGACGCTGACGAGACGTGGCGATGCACGTTACAACCTACGATAATGTTTGCTTACTTTTTATTACATCCAATTGTTTCTCTAATAACTCTCTGAGAAGAACGTCTTCTGTTGGCACTTAAACAGGAAGGACTACCGTGTGTATTAAATATCTTCAATATGTTTCTTATTTCTCCCTACGATTTTTCTACACCTGATGTATGTATGAACAACGTATGAACCTAAGATCTCACACCATCATCTTTATTTTTGGTTTCTGTCAGACAGACTGTATCCATTTGACACCGTAAGATTTCTTTTATTACTTCTTTTGTTTTCATCAATATCCCCTAAATGCTCCAAATTCCTAATTTCGTAAACCTTTTTGTTTGCTTAGTTTGTGGTTTATTAGATCCATCCTGTATCCGAGGTCTACAACTAGCCTCCTTTGCAAGCAGAAGGCGAATCTATAAAATCTCGAAGATGATTATGTTAAATATGTATTTGTATTTGTTTCTTTTTAGATGCTGGTGTTGGGACTTGGAAAAGAAATTTCCGAAATATGGAGACTTTAAGGTTGCAGAAAATATTTTATCTTTAGTAAATAACCAAGGAATGGTGTGGATGGGAATGTTTTTCTGTCCTGGTTTAGTTTTGGTTAATGTTGTGAAATTATATATAACAATGTATTTTAAAGCATGGGCTGTTATGACCTGTAACGTGCCACCTGAAGTCATTTTTAGAGCATCAAGGTATGTAAAAGAGTTAATTAAGTTACTAGATCTATTTAATTTAGAAAAATGGTAATTAAAAACATTTAAGATATAACAAACTAGTCTATACAAATAACAGGTGATTCAGTGAAACGGCACGATTTGGCAACGCTTCTGGTGAAAAAAAAAGAGGAGCCTGTGTGCTTGCAAAGTAAACGTTGTGAATCTAGAGAGTGGGAGAGTGTTTAGGTAATATGGAGAAGTGGTCAGGTGAACAACGCTTATTTTTGCTGTAAATGCTTATTACAAAAATGCTTTCTTTCAAATGCTACAATCGTCCGCCGAGAACTAAATAAAAATAACATTATTTCTAAAAAATTATTAAAAGTTTATAATACCTAACAGTTTCTGAAGAAATGCAACATAAGTGTTTCAAGTTTATATTTCTGAATCATTTGACTCAGAATCAGAATCCATCTCGTCATTTTCAGAATCACTGTCACTAGCGATGCCTACATTTATGATTCTTTGATCCACCACGGTGTCAAAAGCTGGCTGTTGTGCCATATAAATGTGTTCTATTTTTTTAACATGTTCACACCTCTTTTTCCATTGTTCGACTGAAAACGAATTAAAAAATTCATCACACAAACTTTCCACTAATTTAAAATCAAAACTGACATTTTTTTTCAGCGACATATTGCTTCATCGAAGCTCATACTAACTCTATAGGATTCAAATCCGGATGATACGGGGGTAACCGCAAAACAAAATGTCCTTTATCCTCGAGTATTCTGTCCATTTCATACGTTTTAAGGCGAGGTTTGTGTAATTTTATGGGTTTGTGTAATAATGTCGTATGCTTCAAATTTCAACATATCATCTATAAACGAAATATTTCGAGTTGTCAGCCAATGCTAAATTTCTGGAAGACATAGTTGGACATTTCTCAGTTTGTACGTTGTGATACAGTGCATTATCAATCACTAAAACGCGTTTAGGGGCAAATTTGGTATCAGCTTATCCTGAAGCCACTTTTTATAATTGTCGTAGTTCATTGCATCATGATACTCTCCTGTTTTATAGTAGGTTTGTAGTGCAGATAAGAATTTTTAACAAAACCACTTTTATCTCCACCAAGCACTATCGCAAGCATCTGTCCTTTACATACTGGTTTTTGTAGGCACTTGTTTGAACTATCAGACCAAGTCTTTTGGTAGATATGAGATGAATGGACGTATATTTCATCCATGTATATAATTAGGCGATTTGCGTTCCTGTAACATTTCATACTACGTAAGGCTTTTTTATTAATAATTTTCTATTAGTTCTGGTTTTCCGCCAACGAAATTCCATCTTTCAAATTACTGTTTGTAGGCTTTCTATGGAACCTGATTAGTTGTACTCCTCTGCAAATGTTCTGTATATGCGTTTCACAGTTGGCACTTGCTTTTCTGTTATACAAAAATTCATTATATAACGTCAAAGACGCCCTATATCAAAATCGTCCAAGCACGTTTTTGAGGCGCTTTTCCTCTTTTTGTTTGGAATTACAAATAAGGAACATTCGCCGTCTTCAATAAATTGCATTTTCCGAGCAATCTTTTAAACGCTGCTTAAACTAACACCTGTTGCCAATACCACACGCTCCTGCACATTTTTTTTAAATCTCGGTTTATTGTTTTTGGCTTCCTTTCTTATAAAATGAATCACATTTGCTATCCCGCGTCTGATTATTTAAAACTTTTCCCTTTAGATTCGATTTAAACTCCATGTTTAATATATTTACACTACACAGATTTGCAAATTTGGAAATGACTCTCCTTTGTGGTTCGTACTTGCAAAAAGATGTTTCGCAGACTGTACCGACTTGTTCACGTCACAAACAGTAGATATTAAGTGGACGCTCAGTGCCAGATCCGTCGGTTGACGAATGCGCATCATGGGCGTAGTTATTTTTAGACTTTCAGCTATTTTTGGTGAACTGTACACTGGTACTTTCGAATCCCCACTTTTCACTAGCACGAAAAAGGTTAATCACAAAGGTTCTTTTTTATATTACAGTAGAACTGTGTCTGAGTACACTCGCATGCCAGTGGCACTAGCACCAGTGACTATTCGCACATATTATTTTGATGCTAGGAATGCGCGCGCATATCACTCGGCCAAGTACACTAACATGCGCGAATGAGTCTTAACCTCCCAAGAACGCAATACCTCAAGAAATGTTACTCAATGTCGTAAAAGAGCTTTGTACCCGGGCTGCAAAAATGTGTCCGACAAAATGGAGACCACTTTTCTTCATTTTTAAAAACTAAATATTTCTTCACTTACACATTAATTTTCACCTGTGTAGTGTACGTTATAAAAACATAGTTTTCAGTATTTTTTATTTGTTTGGAATCGTACCGTTTCATTAAATCACCTTGTATAATATATGTGGCTCTGTGTAAAAAAGATCCCTTTATAGAATTATTATAACAAAACATTTTTACAAGACTTTTAATATGGAAAATTACAATTTTAGATCAAACAATTTTTACTACGCTTTATTGTTAAGCATGCTCTTCTTGTGTGTTTTACCAGTTGGTTATACGATTGTATGGATAAAGCCATCCTGGCACTGCGGCCCATTCTCAAAATATCAACGCATATCATATATATTTACTGAAACCATTAAAGAAAATGTACCAGACGTTGTTCAAAGAGCTTTGGATTATATTACTTCGGCAGGAATTGTGATACCATTATTAGTACTTCTGGTTTTGATAATTTATTATTTGATGTCACTCACCAATTCGCTAAGAGAAGCTAATGACGACTTAAAGGTGGGTTTTGAACATTATTATTATTTTAAAAGTGATTATATAGATAAATTAAAAAATCGTTTTTCTATGTAAAGTACCTAAAATAACATTTTAAAGTTTTAAGACTACAAAAATGTTACAAGAAAACTCGAAAACTATTCGCTCCGTGCGTGATCATGGTAGGGGTACCTTGAAACGATGCCAGCGTGCGTAGCGGTGAAATATGACAAAATTGGACCTATCTTTTTACGCATAAATTTTATCAAAAATGAATGCAAATATTGAGTGTAGTTTTTATAGATTTCCAAAGATTACATACAAATAACAAAAAATAATAGGATGGATTCGTGCTACTAATATAAAAAAGTAAATATGTAATATAAAAGTATATAATGCAAATAAATGTTGAGTATTTAATTGTGCTAATAATAGCAAAAATATTGAGTGTAGTTTTTATAGATTTCCTAAGATTACATACAAATAAAAAAAAATAATAGGATGGATTCGTGCTACTAATATAAAAAGTAAATATCATATAATTTCATCTTTATGAAATTGAAGTAGGAAAAATTTAAATAATTTACCTTAAATGAGATTTCATAAGGCTTCAGCTAACTGCAGCCTTTAGTTTTTAGCAGCTGTTTTTAGAAGCTTTTTTTAGAAGCTTTTTTTTAGCAGCTTTAGTTTTTATATCATGACTTTTACCATCATCGTTTTAAATTAAATATATATGAGGAATTCTACAAAAATTCGCACCTTAACTGGAGCGAAATATAGTGATATTGCAATTGGCTGCCCGTACCCCGCAGTAACAATTTTTTTCTGTAGGTTGATACCAAAAAACATGTTTTCAGTTGCGAGCCTCAAAAAAAAGGCAAATTTAAGTTTTTTCCAACAAAAAACTGATTTGTTCGCTAAAGCTATTTCATTCTTATAGCGATCTGCCTCGAAAAACGAGTGAAAGAGACTTCTATACTTGGAGCACACGTACATTATCAGGTACCAATCGCTTCGTCTTTCTTTGTCTTCGTCAAAAAATCAAAAAAAAAAACGTCGATTTTTAGGGACTGAATAACCGCTTGCCACGCATTGAGCAGGTGTTTCTTGGTTCTTCAAAGGGAATTCATTCTGGGGATCAAGACGAAGTGATTGGTACCTAATATGTACGTGTGCTCCAACTATACAGGTCTCTTTTAATCTATTTTCGGATAAAATCGCGAAAAAATGAAAAAACCTCGGTTTTAGGGACTGAATAACCGTTTGTCACGCTTTGAACTTTATTTTGGTTCTTCAAAGGGTCATAGTTTATTCTGGGGACCAAGATGAAGCGATTGGTACCTAAGATGTATGTGTGCTCCAACTATAGAGGTATCTTTTAATCTATTTTCGGGTAAAATCGCGACATCGCGACAAAATTTAAAAAAAAACGTCGATTTTAGTGACTGAATAACCGCTTGCCACGCTTTGAGCAGGTATTTCTTGGCTCTTCAAAGGGTCAGAGTTCCTTCTGGAGACCAAGACGAAGCGATTGGTACCTGAGATGTACATGTGCTCCAAGTATACTGGCTCTTTTACTTGTTTTTCGAGGCAGATCGCTAGAAGAATGAAATAGCTTTAGCGAACAAATCGCTAGTTAAATAGTAATTAATTTACAATGTCACAAGAAAATAGCTTCAGAACCATAACCTGTATCAAGTGCAAAAAAGCAATGCTTTCAATCTTTTGTACCCTTTTTTTGTCACTTACTTTATGTATTATGCATGAATATTACTATTTAATAATAACATTAATAATTTTAGATTCAACTGCGTCGTGAAAGAACTGAAGAAAGGAGAAAAATGTTTCAACTGGCGGATAGAAGACGAAGAGGAGGATCTGGCGAGTCTAATGAAATATCAACTGCTCCGTCTAATAAATGGAAAAGACTTCTAGAGAATCTTCCTTCTGGTAAAAGTTTAGATGAAACGCCTAAACAAGAAAGCGATGATCAAAAAGATGAACGTGTCGATAATAAAAGTAAAGGTAAACATGTCTTTGTAACACTAAAGTAATGTAAACATGTAAACATTAAAGTCTTCTAAAAATTTGCACTGAGAAAAATTCAGAATCTGTCCGATAATTATTTTCCGACATATTTTGCCTAAGCGGCTCCGCCAGGCTTATTTTTCAATTTCCCAGGTCCATTCTTCGTATTGGATGATAAGTGTTTCGACGTTAAACATGCCCGAACCATCTTAACTTATTTCCTTTCCCTGATATCTTCTTCTTAGCCTTCTCTCTTTCATTTTTGAACATAGGCCTCTCCCAATTCCTTCCATCAGTCTCTATCCTGAGCAACATACTTCCGATTTGTTCCGGCTGTTCTTTTGATGTCATCCCCCATCTCACCTGTGATTTTTCTCTTGGTCGTCTACCGTTATAAGGTCTCCAATTGTGTATTATGGCGTTCCAACGTTGGTCTTTTTGTCTAGCAGTGTGACCCGAAGCTCCATTTGAGTTTGGCAATTTTTGATGTGATGATTCAACTTTTGTTTTTTATCTTACCCAGTCATTATTTTTATTACCTGACAGTCGTATAACTAACATTGCTCTTTTTATTGCCCTTTCTGTTGTGGCTAGTTTATTCATATTTGCCTTGGTTAGGGTCCAGGTTTGACATCCATATGTCATAGTAGGAAGGATGCATTGGTTGAATACTTTGCCTCTCAAGTATTGAGGTATCTTGTGGTTTTTCAGTATCCTACTGAGCTTTTCAAATCCTGGCCATATCAGTCTTGCTCTTCACATATCTAGGCATTTTATTTTTTCCATATGATACTAGCTTTCTCTTTCTTTTTAACTACACACATTCAGTTTCTTCACGCATCCGTCTATAACTTATTTTCTTTACTCTTTTCATGGCGTTACTAAGTAGTTTTAATGTTCTGTAGTTTTTGCATAGTTATATGTCTCCTAAGTTTTTCTAAACAGGTACTAATATACTACTTTTCTATTCGTCTATACTTTGTCAAACCTCCATAATTCTATTAATCAAACCAGTTAGCCAACTTGTTCCTATTTCTGCTTAAGCTTCCAGGGATGTCGTTCATACTTCCAGGGATATCGTTTGGTCCTACTAATTTACCTTTTAATTGTTTGAAGTGCTTGAGCAATCTCGTTTGTCACACCATTGCTATTACTGCCTCCGTTAGCTCAACTGGTTTTCTGTAAAAAATTTCAATTAGTGAACTGTCAAAGAATTACAAAAATTATGAAAAATACAAAATAACTAACGAAAAGTAAATTTAATAATTGTAATATATTGCTGCAGTAAATATTGAGCTCTATAATATAGTCCAAATCTTGCCTCAGTCGCTCGAGGAGTTGATATTTACAAGTGGGATATGCACATATCTCGTTAGTGACGTTTGCACTACATTTATAGCAGGTAGCGGACCTTTGTAGTTTCCTGCCGAATATTGGCTACCAGGTCCATATTCTGTTGTGTAAGCTGAGTAGCATGAAAGAAACTCAAATCAATCATAGAAAAAAATCATAAGAGAAAAGTTCGGTATCAGTTAAAAGAAATCAAGGTTGCACAACAACAATGGCTACTAATTTTGAAGCGTGTAGAGTCTGACTAACCAACACATGCACTAAACTTGATTGGATAGAGAAGAAGAAGCTAGTGGAATACAGAAGACGGATAAGATATCAGAAAGTAGAGCAAACTGATACTGATATTACACCTGAAGAAATCATTAAAAATAACCTAGTGTTGTAAATGGTACCAGATGCAATTAAACCTCAATATAATTATAAAAAGCCAGTATTATCCTCTTTTTAGTTAAGGATAAATAGTATAGTAATGCTGGTATACAAATAGCTTCAAAACCGATGAAGGAGTTAGAGCTGGGGTATACGAAGTCAAACTTAGGCTAGGCCTTGGTGAAATCATAGGTAATCCAGGCAAAATTAAAGGTACTTAAATCGAATCGGATTGATTCCAACCTAGTCTTCAGAGTCTTTCAATACTAGTACGTTTATCAGATATACTGGTATTTAAAGGAACCTAAAAAAGCGGACCTACTTTATAGGAGAGGATTCCAGCGGAGTGATGGAAATAATTAAGAAGCAGTTGCCTGATTAGTTCAATCAAATCAAAATTATCGCAATATCCAAATAGGAAAAAGACCCTACATTACCTAAAGCTATATACCAATTTCTATTTTAAGCGTGTGCTACAACGTGTTTGACAAAATAATCTACATAAAACTTGCAAACCCCTTAGTTTGCAAACCCAAATATCTCTCCACGGCAAGCTGGATTCACGACAGGAAGAAGCTGCTACGATTTAGTTCTCGTTATAACATTTATTAAGGATGAACTCAAAAAAAAGTTAAAACAGCAGTATATTTGATAGATTTGACCTGAGCATACGACGATATATGGAAAGAAGATATTTTATTTAAAATATGTCAGATTGTACATTTCCGATCATTAAATATGCAGATAAACCAATTGTTAAGTGACATCATTTTCCAAATAAAAATAATGGAGAAACTAACAAACTTAGAAGTCTGCAAAACGGCCTACAACAAGGTTTGGTTCGGTCTTCTCTCCTATATAAGATTAGTACATCAGATGCTGTGAAACTTTGTTCATTTAAACAACACTTGCAAAATACTGCAGACAAAATAAAAACCCACAACATCATTATTCACAAGCTGAAAAATTCAGCATGGAGGTCCAATACAAAGTTTATCAGAACGAGAGTCCTGGTTTTGGTTTACTCTACTGCAGAATGTCATACACCTGTCCTATATTGTAACACTCTCTAAATCAATTGATACTAGAATTCTATCACTAGCCCGACATGTCACAAATGCAGCGCTACTGAACAAAAAATCAACCGCGTCGTCTTCAAATGTTCTGCTACTCAATTCGAGTGCAACCTTCAACATCTCCACTAACTCATTTACAGGCAAAAAATTAGCTCCAAGACTGTAAATACAACTTTAACGGCAATTCAGCGACTAACTGTACAAAATTGTAAAAATAATTAATACTTTTTATAAAATTAATTCATTCTTTTAATTTAATAATTTTTCAATTTCAGATTTCTTTTCCAAACTGATTAAACGAGCATTAAGGAAATCTTCTACCTCTGAAGACGCGGAAGATGGCACCGATACTGAACAACACGATTCTCTACCGTATGATACAGTAGTAAAGCATCCGCCAAAACCTATTAAACCATCATTTTCGTGGGGAAGCACAGATTTCCAAAATGTGGCACTACGTGCTCTACAATTGAAGAAACATAAACCTGAGATACCAATACATTTAAATGAAACTAAACAGGAACAAAAGCATGTTCATATTAATGAAAAGCCAGTTGTTAGTGTAAAAACAATCGATCCGTATAAACCTTCTAGCATTTACAATGAACCGTCTACATCAAGAGGTTTTACAAGAACCAACAGAAGTTTTAGAGATTTAATTTCTCATATTAAAGAAGAGCCAGCAAAAACTACTAAAGAAATATCAATTACTAATAAAGACATTAAACCACCTGATCCAGTACCTGAGTCAAGTAAAAAAGATTTTAATTCTAAAACTACAAGACAGGATTCTGAGTCATCCAATTGGTCTGACGGTATTCCAGTAATAACAATAAGTAAAACTGATAGTGACGAAAATATGTTAAAAGTCATTGAGAAGCCTCCAATCGATAAAAGTGTTTCTAATACTGATAACAGTAGTATGGTATTTAGGCCTAAAGTTAGATGTGTTCTTAAGAAACAATCAACGGAGATTGATGAAGATACGATTAGGTATTTTAATAACGATATAGAGAAAAATATATCTATGGAAAATGTAATAAAAGCAGTAGCTGAGGAAGACATAGAATTAGAAAGCCTTACTGTAGATACTCAGCAGGAAGATGATAAAAATGAAGAAGTTTTAACTGATAAATCATCTTCTGACACTGAACCTAAAGAAAGCAGCACCGATACTGTTTTGCAGTCGCCATTAGATAAAGACGAGTAGTAGTAGCAGACAATATTAATAAATACTTTGATAAATAGTAAATGTTTATATTTAAAAATGACATAAATGTATTAAATAATGATAAATCTTTTAAATATAAGTACTGTAATTTTTATTAAAAGTTAGTATGTATATAGAAATGTAACCATAAGCTCCCCTACTATTTAGACTCAGCAGATTCCAATGTCCAAAGTTATCAAAAGGAAGAAATCAATCAAGAAGGCGGTGCCTTCCTGAATTTCCCAGGTGTGCTCATAACACGAAAGTTCATCAATTCAGTTCATCAAGAAAAGCTTGTATAGCAAACCATCGAAAAGTTCTAAATAAACCAAAAACAGTTAGTGTAAAGTACACCATTAACACATCAAGAGGATCAATTCCTGTTTTTAAAGAAACATTACATTCGTAGCGATACTGGGCATTGGAAAAAACCGAATTGAAAGGATATCCCGAAACAGGTCGATTTTTGTTATATGATACCCATCTTATAACGTACATGGAGTAAGGATGACGTCACCGGTTTGGCTGTAGTGACTTAATAGTTCATTTTTTAAAATAGAAATCGGTATAATGCGATACCTCATTTAAACGAGAATTTTATTATCTATTTAACGACATTACATTTTTAACTAAAATATTTTTTTAAAGGTACAAAAACAATTGCTTTTAATTTATATTTAACTAATGATTTAATTAATAATGTACTTTAAAGTAACCAAATGATGCATAATAATTATTTAAAATTAAATGTTCGAAATGTCATTCATCGGTTTCTTGACAATATGCGAATCTACGGACACATTCATCAAGTACTTTGCGGATGACTTCTGGAGTAATTAGACTCATTTCATTCCTAATTCTAACTTTCAAGTCTTGTAAGTTTTGGGGTCTATCGACATAAACTTTTAATTTTATGTAACCCCACAGGAAAAAGTCTAGAGGTCTTAGATCTGGCGATCTTGCTGGCCACTATATAAAACCTCTTCTTCCGATCCACCTCCTGGGAAAGCAATGATTTAAAAATTGACGTACTTCGCATGCGTAATGCGAATTGGCTCCATCTTGTTGAAACCGGATATTTTCACTAGGTAAATTTGGATTATTGGCATTTGGATACAGGTTAGCAAGGACAGGTATAAGTTGATTTGTCAAAAAAGTTAAATACCGTTCTCCTGTTAGACTTTCGTCAAAGAAAAAAGGTCCAATGATTTTGTCATTTATGATCTCTGCCCATACATTTACTTTCTGAGGATATTGCGTGTGTGACTCAGACATACAATGTGGGTTTTCTTGACTCCAATATCTGCCATTTTAACGATTCACGATACCATGTATGAAAAATGTGGCTTCATTGGAAAATAGGATTTGATTAATGAAATGTGGATTGCGGATACATAAATCCTGCCCAATTTCAAAAAATTGAAGCCGGCGATCGGGATTGTCATCGTTTAATTCCTGATGTAGTTGAATTTTGTAGGAATGGTATTTTTCTTTTTTTAAAATACGTAATATCGATCGTTAGGAAACTCCAGCATGTTCACCGATTTGTGTAAGGATTATCATATACATTTAATAAAAAAACAAGTTTCATATTGTCTTCAATTTTAGGACGCCCAGAGCTTGAAATATATTTAAGGTGCCCAGTTTCTCCAAATTTTCGGACTATTTTACTTACTGTTGATTGACTGATGGGTCTGTCTGGATATTTTTCGTTGAATAAATTGCGTACCTCGTTCTGTGTTCTTTTTCCATCTCCGCATCCGCTAAGAATTAATATTTCTATGAGTTGTGTTTCATTTAGGTGAGCCATAATTTAGTATTGTAGCGTAGATGTTTAATAAACATTTGGCGCACAAATTAAATTCAAGGCCAGAAACGCTCATTGTCGGAGAGAGAGTTGGGGGGGGGGGTCCGTTCAAATATATAGAAACTGTATAAAACTATATATCATATCTTAAAGCCAAGCACAATCGGATAATATGAATTTATAATTTATTATTGGACGCCACCCCTGGTTTATCCTCGAAGGGTACGAGCAAAGAAAAAAATTAAGATTTATAGAAAGTTTACAAGAAAACTATACTTTATTATTTCTTTGTAATGAACAAAAAGAAAACATTAAAAGTTATGTCAGCCCAAAAGGATACCAAAATACCATTTTATGTTTACATTACCATAAACAAAAAAAACTTTGTATAGTATTAAATTAAGAATTAGTTATAAAGAAAATGAGTATATATATTAACCCCAAATTTCGAAATTTGTTTACATTCAAAATATTATAGTTATTTATCAACTAGGAATAATAGAGAAATCAAATCTTTAAATAAAATTAAAACACTATATTTTCATTCTTTGAGTTTATAATTATTTCTCGCTTTCTTGATAGAAGATATAATAAAAATTGGTACAATCTGAATTATCCAATAGCTGGTAACTATGAAGAAAAAGGATATGCTCTGTTTCTTTTCACTATTTAATCAGTTAACCAAATGAAACCATTGGTACGACTCCATTTCATATCAATATACCACACCATAAAGAGATACTGTTATTGGAGTAGGATTTGGAACAACTCCATATCAATATTATCTTGAGACATGTATTAGAGACATATCATCATTCTAGCCCCTCCAATAAGGGTCTAAAAATAAATATCTATTTGAAAATATGGACAAGAAAAGGATTTTTTCGGCGTACCTCTACAAAGACCCACTTCGGAAACACGTCTTATTGGTTGGATGTTTTAAGAGAAAAAGAGAAAGACGGTATTCCTTATCGCTGTGAATCGGGGCGTGAGTGACAAGTTAATGAACGTTCTCATCTACCGGATATGTTTGGGAATTACAGAAGAATTCTTGAGTCGGCTACAAGTACCCGGCAGATAGATGGGGTTAGTAGTTTTATTTTAAAAAAAATAATCAAATTTATAATGAATTTTCTAAAACTTTTGAAACGGTTACAGTATTCAAAAGGAAAAATTACAATTGACAACTGATGACAATTCACAGAATCAAAACACTTACGTCAATAAATATTACAGTAACTATGCCACTATGACTCGCTTGAATTAACATTTGACAAAAAGTTTCAGTGTTTATGAGATAACTTTTTGTGTCCATTAATATTTTTAGTTGTGTTTGCTTTTTTAAGTATTTACTTCAGAAAGTCATGGCATGAACCAATGGTTGGCATTTAGAACATTTAATTTAAAATAATTGTTATGCATAATCTGGTTACTTTAAAGTACATTATAAATTAAATCATTAGTTGTAATTTAACTGAATTTAAATGAAAAAACAATTTAATCCGTAAACTAATTTTCGAAACCAAATTCAGAGTTTTGCTTTAATCTGTGCCTACTAAGAAATGCAAGGCTAGAGACATGGGAAATATAAAATTTGCATTTCACAATATATTTTCTCTATGACACATCCGGTGTATCTCTAACTTGACAACATGGCTATGCGCTAAGAAGTTTTATACAAGAGCATCACGTGGTGCATAATTGATGTTACAACGGGCGTCGCGATCAGTTCAGTCGTTTGGGGTGCTTTAAAGGTGGTTTGTGCTTTATTGAGTACCAAAATATTTTGGTAGGCGATATATACTTCGCTATAAAACGTTTAAAACTTTAAAATTTTATATCTCTGTTAGTTCCAGGTATGTATTGTTATTCATATTAACAGAAACATCATGTTTGGAAGCTTTGTTTGTTTAAACAAAAAATTTATTGTAAAAAACGTGTTCTTGTTCACACTTGGGTAAAACAACATATTAAATACTCGGGTAAAATGACATAGTATGTCATTTTGCCCATATAAATTTTAATAATAATATGGTAGGTAGAATATTAATGTATGGTATTTTTCGTTTTTAGTATGGTGGGACACTACGAAAGGAAAAGTACACGCCAGTCTTGGGATCCAGTACAAATGCAAAGAGCCATCCAGGCAGTCCAGTGTGGAGACATGGGCTGGTTAAAAGCATCGATAACTTTTAATCTGCCCCAAGCTTCTTTAAGAAGACGAGCATCAGACAAGAATAAACGGGTATCAGGTACTAATAAAGGTCTTGGCCGGTACGAAACTACGTTCTCTGTAGAATTAGAAAGAGACCTCGTAACACACATAAAACTCCTAGAATCAAGTTTGTTTGGATTATCTTGCGATGAAGTTCGTTCTTTAGCCTACCAGTTAGCAGATCGAAATGGAATAGTACACCGATTTAACACAACCACTAAGATGGCTGGTTGGGATTGGTTACGAGGGTTTCGGTCTAGACACCCCGATATATCCCTTAGAAAATCCGAGTCCACGTCTGCAGCAATAGCGCAATCATTCAACAGGCCGCAAATTGCCAATTTTTTAAAACTTTTAGAGGATACTATTACAAATAACAAAATTAATCCTTCACGCATATGGAATGTGGATGAATCAGGCCTATCCACGGTTCAAAAACCCGGCAAAATATTTGCAACCAAGGGTCGGAAGCAAGTGGGCCTAATTACAAGTGCGGAAAGAGGGCAGCACATAACGATGGTTGCTTGCATTAGCTCAGTGGGGAATTATGTTCCACCAACACTTATATTCCCCAGGAAAAATTGGAAAAAGAATTAATAGATGAAGCGCCTTTAGGAACTTTAGGAATAGCACAAGAAATAGGATGGATGACAGGCGAAGTGTTCCTAACACGGATGAAACATTTTAAAGAATATTCTAATCCTTCTATAAAAGACAAGGTTATGCTGTTGCTTGATGGGCATGCGAGCCATAAAAACATTAATGTTTTAACTTTTGCCAAAGAACATGGAATAGTGATATTGTGTTTTCCGCCGCAATGTACCCATCGTCTACAGCCGTTAGATGTATGTTTCTTTGGTCCATTAAAGAGCTACTATGATCAAGAAGTTACCAAGTGGATGAAGTGTAATTCAGGCAGAACAGTTTCGCAATACCAAGTTAGAGGATTATTTGCTACAGCGTATGGAAAAGCAGCTACACACCAAAATGCCGTTAGTGGATTTTTAAAGACTGGAATTTGGCCCCTTAATCTCGACATATTCCCTGATTATTTATTTAATCCTTCCAA